AAAGACTTAAATGTAAGGGCAGAAACTATCAAACTCTTAGAGGAAAACATAGGCAGAACACTCTATGACATAAATCACAGCAAGATCCTTTTTGACCCACCTCCTACAGACATGGAAATAAAAACAAAAATAAACAAATGGAACCTAATGAAACTTCAAATCTTTTGCACAGCAAAGGAAACCATAAAGAAGACCAAAAGACAACCCTCAGAATGGGAGAAAATATTTGCAAATGAAGCAACTGACAAAGGATTAATCCCCCAAATTCATAAGCAGCTCATGCAGCTAAATAACAAAAAAACAAACAACCCAATCCAAAAATGGGCAGAAGGCCTAAGTAGACGTTTCTCCAAAGAAGATATAGAGACTGCCAACAAACACATGAAAGAATGCTCAACATCATTAATCATTAGAGAAATGCAAATCAAAACTACAATGGGATACCATCTCACACCAGTGAGAATGGCTATCGTCAAAAAATCTAGAAACAATAAATCCTGGAATGGGTTTGGAGAAAACGGAACACTTTTGTACTGCTGGTGGGAATTTGAATTGGTAGAGCCACTATGGAGAACAGTATGGAGGTTCCTTTAAAAACTACAAATAGAACTACCATATGACCCAGCAATCCCACTACTGGGCATATACCCTGAGAAAACCATAATTCAAAAAGAGTCATGTACCAAAATGTTCATTGCAGCTCTATTTACAATAGCCTGGAGATGGAAACAACCTAAGTGTCCATCATCGGATGAATGGATAAAGTCGATGTGGCACATATATACAATGGAATATTACTCAGCCATAAAAAGAAACGAAATTGAGCTATTTGTAATGAGGTGGATAGACCTAGAGTTTGTCATACGGAGCGAAGTAAGTCAGAAAGAGAGAGACAAATACTGTATGCTAACACATATATATGGAATTTAAGAAAAAAATGTCATGAAGAACCTAGGGGTAAGACAGGAATAAAGACACAGACCTACTAGAGAACGGACTTGAGGATATGGGGAGGGGGAAGGGTAAGCTGTGACAAAGCGAGAGACAGGCATGGACATATATACACTACCAAACGTAAGGTAGATAGCTAGTGGGAAGCAGCCGTATATCACAGGGAGATCAGCTCCGTGGTTTGTGACTGCCTGGAGGGGTGGGATAGGGAGGGTGGGAGGGAGGGAGATGCAAGCGGGAAGAGATATGGGAACATATGTATCTATATATATATAACTGATTCATTTTGTTAACAGAAACTAACACAACATTGTAAAGCAATTATACTCCAATAAAGATGTTGAAAAATAGGGGCGGGGGACATTTGGACACAGATCCAGACACACAGAGAGAAGTCGATATGAAGACACTGGGGGCCCAGAGCAGACCCTCTCCTCGGTCCTGCAGGGAGAACAGGTGCTGCCCACACCTTGACTTTGGATTTCATGCCTCCAGATTTGAGACAGTAAACTTCTGTTTTTAATCAACCCCCAAGAAAGAAGGAAGCAAGATCACAAGCAATCAGTCCAGTATAAAGCTCTTTGCATTAAACAATTATGAAAGGAGGATGGCTAAAATTAGGATAGTAGTAGAGAAAGTGCTAAAAATGGTAGGATTTTGGACAAATTTTGAAAGTAGGACCAACATAATCATGATGAATTAAACGTGGGTTGTGAGAAAGAATGACAGTAAGTTTATAGCCTTTGCAAAGGGAAAGATTGAGTTGCCATTTACTGCGATGGAGAGGTAGGTCTGCAGGTGAATCAGGTTTTTGGGGAAATACAAGACCGTTAGTGTGAATATATTGACTTTGTTAGCCCCATGGAGAGGTGAAGTAGGTAACTGGATTTACAAGTCTGGAGTACAAAGAGAGGTCAGCCAAGATATATTAATTTGAGACTTTTCAACTTCTAGCTGACATTTAAAACAATGACCCTGGATGAGATCACCAAAGGGGAGAGCGTAGATAGAGAAGGTATCTTACTGACTGAGCCCTGGGATGCAACAACATTAAGAGATGGGAGTGATAAGGAAGAACGCATTTTAAAAGACTAAGAGGTAACCAGTGAGTTACCAGAAAAACCTGGAGAGTGTGGGATCCTTAGTGTCAGAAATAGAAGTTTTTCAAGGAAGATGGGATGATCAAAGGCCACTTATAGATAAAAAATGATAGATATTAATAAATGAAAATTGGTGGTCATTGATGACCTAACAAGAACAGTTTTCATGGAGTCATGGGGGAGTGGACAGGGCAGCCAGACTAGAGTAGGAGTAGGTTTGAGAGACAATGGGAGGAAGATATTGAAGACAAGGGATAGGAAATTCTTTCAAGGAGTTTTGTTGCAAAAAGGAGTAGAAATATGAGGTGGTAGCTGAAAGGATAAGTGAAATCAGAAGAGGGTATTTTTGAAATGGAAAAACTAACAACATGTTCTAATAGTAATATAACCCCAAAACATACTGCTTGATGCAAAAGTAAGTTGTAGAAAATATAAAAAATATGGCATAATTTATGCTTAAAAATTCACCAATAATGCCATATTTCATCTAAGACCAATTTTTTTTCCACATATTTTTAGAGAAAAATGTAACATCCTACTCTTTCCATTTACTTTCCTTATATTTTTCCTTTTTATTAGTTTTTCACATTTTAACATCTCTAAATGTGGCATATGTCTTTTAATTCATGGTTTATCACAGTTTAATTGGTGGTTATTTTCTTTTTTATTGGTACACAAAATAAAAGTGTCTCAAAATTAACAGTATGCTGCATTAAATAATATGCAAAATACATTTTCTATGGGTACATAAGTAGAGAAGGCAAACCAGCAAGTTCATAACAGAGAACAATCTGGGACATAGAGCAACAGCGATTGTGAATGTTGTAAATATTTATTAGCAATATTCTAATAATTTAAAAGGGGAATGGATACCAATATTTCATGTGTAAATAAAAAATACATATAAAATATGGGGAACTGGCTAACTTTAGAATCAAAAATATTTTTAAAAATTTAAAAAGCTAAACAATTTAAAAGAAAGATATGAAGAGAAACACACAATAGGACTGAAGGACTGAATGGCAAAAATACCACAGGAACATAAGTTGAAACTCACTAAATAATCAGAAAAATGTAAAATAAAACAATGAGCTACCACTCCTCAGTCACTAGTTTGGCACACTCTGAAAATATGAAAATATCAAGAGTTGACTAGAATGTGGAGAAGATGGAATACCTACCATGCTGATTATACCATAATTTGGTACAACGAATTAATGTAGGAATTTGGCAACATTTAGGAATTTTGAATTGCTTATACCTACAACTCAGTATTTCTTTTTCCAGTGTACACACTGAAGAAACTCTGGAACAAGTCCAGGAAGCTATTCATTTTATCATTATTTGTAATAATGAAATGTTGAAGTGAACCAAATGACCATCGAGAGAATGGAGGTTGAATATATTGTTAAATGAATGACAAAAATGTCATATATGTATACTCTGCAATAGAGTTTGAGGGTAACAAGGAATGTTAGAGATATAATACAGAGAAATTTAAAAACAAAATATTGAGTAACAAAAGCAAGATGCAGAAAAATAACATACACATGATTAAACTTATGTTCAGAATAAAGCTGAACCAAGTTAGATTACAAGACTTATCAGAGTTCTATTTCAGGCTTGCTTAAAAGGTCTTTTTAAGAAAAAAAACAAACAAACATTTTCTTGAATATATGTGAGTGGACATATACATACACTTTAAAAAGGAATTGCTAAATAAGGTTGTTTAAATACATGATTGGTTAGTTTTACAAAGTGTAGAGATGTCATATTCTTATCAGTTGCACAGTACATATATATACCTGGGTCATAAGGAGCCATCTTCCAGAAATATCAGGTGTGATCCATTGAAAGAGAATGATTCTCTTTCCCTCACAGTAGAGAGTAATTAATTATCCTTCATAATGAAATTTTTAAAAATAATTATGGAAAATAAAATGAATAATATCCATTTCTAAATAATATATGTATGAATATAAATATAAAGAGGGTTAGGATATGCAAAATTTGAATGATGATTCTTAGCGTTAGAGAGGAGGAAGGGAATAGGATCAGGGTTATAGAATAAAGGAGGATTACATTTTATTGATAATATTTTATTTTAAAATGCTTCAATAAAAACAAGTAAAAATTTTAATGGAGAGTATTTAGTACTTGTAATATTGCTGTATACACTGTATTTTCAAAATACCATAAAAATGATGCTACAAAGAATTATTAAGACCTGAGTTTGCAAAATGACCACAGATTTCTAAGAGATTTTAGAAAAAAGGTTAGGGAAATAATGAGTGTTCATATTTTGCTTGAAGCCCTATGGAATGAGATTTACAGTGGATTTAGGGTGGATTATTTTCTTCAAGTGAATTTTCTGAATTTTACAGTGTCCACATTGTGCATGCAATTCTTTTGCGATCTGTGAAAAAGAAAAAAGAAGAAAAGGAATAAAAAATCTTCAAGAAGTAAAGTCTGAAAATGACCAGACAGTAAAAATTACCTAGATTGTGTCAAGATGGCAGACGAAGCACAAGCGCATTTCTCCTGTCCTACCTCAAATCCCCTTAAATGGCAGGAAAGGCAGGTTTCCGTATATAGAGAATAACATCCGAAGGGCATAGGGGGAAAAGAAAAGGGGAATTCTTGGAAGATGGAAAGCAGATGGGGCAGGGGCACTGAGGTGGGGGTGGGGTAGGGGTGGGGAAAACGGGGGCCCTGAACTTGAAAGTGGGGGCAAAGCAGTCGGGGTGGGGAGTTGTGGGCAAGGAAAGGCGGCTCCAGATTTTGGAAAGGGGGTGGGGGCGGGAGATAGAAACTCCTCCCAGACCCAGGGCAGAGGTGGGCTTGAGAGTGGAGGGGGCGGGGAGGGTGGCAGTGTTTGGCAGGAAGGGGAGGCCTCTCTCCTGGCAGGAAGCTGCGCGACGGTGGTAAGAGGGAGGAGACTGCGGCTGCGGCAGCGGCTTCTGGGATCCCGATGTGGCAGAGGGGCCGTCACCGCCAACAAGGAGGTGGAGGGCCCGCGAGCCCGGTGTTGGAGACACTGCTGCCATCCTTTTCTCCTGGCCTGCTGTCCTCCTAGACACGCTCGTCGCCTAAGGATCCTCCCCTCCCAGCTCTTGCAAACTCCGAACTCGTCGCCTGCTGATTCTCTTTCACCACGGGTTCACAGCGGAGGCAGCAGTGAGGTGTCCGATTTGGACACGTGAGGCCTGCGATCCCCGGAATTGGGGAGGTGGGCGCTGGACTAGAGAATCGGAGGATGAGGGTTGGTGGATGCCAGGAGGGAAGATTGGGGTGTGTGCTGGGACAGGAGATGAGGGAGACTGACAAGGGTGATTTGGGGACGGGAGGGTGGGGGTAGGGGGAGCCAAAGAGCACCTGGATGGTATAAAAAGGTGGCCCCAGAAAGAGAAATAGATTTGTTCTGGGCACACAGCGGCAAAATGGGGATGACCAGGAAGAGATACGAAGGAGAGGTGAACAACAAGCAGAAGCCATGGGGGTGGGAGGCAAAACAGATGAAGAGCAGACAATGAGCAGGGGAAAAGGAGACTATGTAAGTGCAAATGGGGAGACAGGGTGGGAGCTAATAAACGGTGAATATCTGTGTTTGGTGTGGGGACCGCAGTATGGTAACAGGATAAGGCATTAGCCAAAGGAGCCTGCTCCCTCATGCTGGGACCTCAACCACCAAAACCATCACCTCTCCAACCCTCCAGCACAGCCAAATAAGTTTGGAGGGAGGACAATGTTGGCAAGCATCGAATAGCATTTTGATAGCCAGCATCCCTGCTGCACACGTGAATAACTTGGGCTGTAATACATATACCTGGTGCCCAGGGAATTTGCAATGCAGAGAAAAAAACCTCACACTATACTACACTAAATGTTTCTCCCTAGCCTCTTCCTCCCCCTGCAGGTATGAAGACCCCTCACAAAAAGGCAGCTGCAGGGCAGCAAACCAGGGAAATTGTCGATGGCCACAAAGGGTCTGAAAGTATGAGGAAGAAAAACACTTCTCAAAAGAAGCAGAGAGGCAGACCTTCCTCCCAGCCCCGCAGGAAAATCGTGGGCTGCAGAATTTCACACGGATGGAAGGAAGGCAATGAGAGCATCACCCAGTGGAAAGGAACCGTTCTGGATCAGGTGCCTATAAATCCTTCTCTTTATCTGGTGAAATATGATGGAATTGACTGTGTCTACGGACTGGAACTTCACAGAGATGAAAGGATTTTAAAGCTTAAAATCCTTCCGGATAAGGTGCCATTTTCTCGACTCAGAGATGTGCACCTTGCAAACACCATAATTGGTAAAGCTGTGGAACATATGTTTGAGGGTGAGCATGGTTCTAAGGATGGATGGAGAGGAATGGTCTTGGCCCAAGCACCTATCATGAAAGCCTGGTTTTATATTACCTATGAGAAAGATCCTGTCTTGTACATGTACCAGCTTCTAGATGATTATAAAGAAGGAGACCTCCATATCATGCCAGAGTCCAGTGAGTCTCCTCCAGCAGAGAGGGAGCCAGGAGGAGTTGTAGATGGCCTGATAGGTAAACATGTGGAATATACCAAAGAAGATGGCTCCAAACGGATCGGCATGGTCATTCACCAAGTGGAAGCCAAACCCTCTGTGTATTTCATCAAGTTTGATGATGATTTCCATATCTATGTCTATGATTTGGTGAAAAAGTCCTAACTGTTAGGGTAAACTTTGCCACATTTGTGAAAACAAATGTGTACTTTGTAGACATGCAAAATAATGTTACTTTTCAGTGTATTGAAAGCTTTAGGGTCCCTGTTAATCTGACATCTTTGCCAGCATAACTGTTGTTTTCTCCTGAAAAATACAAATTTATGTGGCCATGAAATGCTGTGTGTAAGGAATTTGTCATGTTGAAACGATTGGGTGTGTTTGGTGGCTAGGGCATGAAAGGAAGGAACAGCTGTAAATTCAGACTGTGGATAAAGATCAGCTAGTATCATAATCAGTCATCTAAAAATGGAATAGGACTTAGCTGGTCTGGTCTAGGGAGGGGGGAGGAGAAGGAACTAGAGATGAGCTGTGGGGGAAGGGAGAAGGGGAGGTGGCTGCTTAGCAGGAGGTGGGGAGGGGTCAGAAATGGAGAGGCTCCCTATCGGGAGGGATGACCTAAGAGGGGGAGGCACACAACTGGGAGGGGGTGAAGAATAACAGAGGGAGAGTGAGATCTTAAGGCTTAGAGGAAAACAGACAGAATAAATTGAGTAGAGAGGGACACAAAGACGTTTAGAAGAGATCCAGAGTAAGGGAAAGATGAAGTTGGCAGAGATCTGGGGAGAGGCTAAAAGGATACTCAAATGGAGGTCTATGCATGAGTGAGGGACCAGAAAGGGAGGGACATCGAGGAAAGAGGAATTCTAAGATGAAAGACTGACAGAGGGAGTGAGAATACAGACAACAATATATGGGGAGTGTGGTCCATGAGAGATGGGAAGACCCAAGGAAAAATAGGACTTCTGGCAGTATCCAAATTGCCCTCCCTAGCTTTGTGTCCAAAGGAGGTGGCAACAGTCAAAGAAACCAGATGGATTGGAGCTTCCCTAGAAGGACACTTTGACAGGAATATCTCAAGAGTTAAGCAGGAGCCAAGTTTATACCTAAAAGCCTTTTATAATATCAGGGAGTTCAGGCCACACCTGCTGAGCAGAACCCAAACCCTCAGCCTAAACACACTAACATGGCACTCCATAAGCAGGGGCCTGCGGGCAGCTTCCTCGTATTTTCCAGAGGACCCAAGAGCAGTAAATCTCAGACCTGAAGGTCTTGGTTCCCTTCCCCTACACTGAATAAACAATTCTTGTGGGGAACAGGTCAGTAGGGTGCTCAGAACTTAAGAGATGTACCACCTTGCATTTGGAAAGCATTTTATCCAGAAAAATGGAAACTTGCTAAACCCAGGTACAGCACTCTCCTCACTGTTCTTCCTGCTCCTGGACTATGCCTGGCCTCCTTACAGAGGAGGGGCATCAGAGGATTGAGCGTAATGTTTCTTTCCCAGGTGTGGGGAATACTTGACTGTCCATGCTTCTCTCAGCTGTTGCCTGAAACCACAGGTGACTTCACCCAATGCTTCACCAGATGGAGGTCTGCTGCCTCCAGAAGCCCCATTCTGGTTATATCCCAACAAAGCCATTGGCTACTGGCATTACGCAGGTACCTCCTAACCAGTCTTGCCCACTTCATGCACACGGGGAGCTGTGATGGAAATTTGTGCAGCTCTATTTCCAGGTGAGAGAGGTGGCATGCGCAGTTGGGCAGGGAGTTGTGACTTTGTATAACTAAGTCCTCCGACTGTATGGTACCACATAGGTGGTTGGTGGGGAGAGGTTGTGGTAACCCCCAATAAATTCCCTCAGAGGTACAATGTCCCAACACATGGGTCTTTGTCCTTCTCTCCTTCTTTCCTTTCCCCGGTCCAGCTGTGGAAGTTTCCCTCAAAACCCTCTCTCTGGTTTTCCCACTCCACACTTCACTGAAATATACCCCTACCCTCAAAGAAACAGTTCTGGTGACTACCCACTGCCCAGGTTTCCTTAACTCCAGGCATAGCAGGGAGGTGGGGAGGCAGGGAGCTTCCAGGAGTTGAAAGAAGTTGGTAATTCCAGTTCATTCTCTCCACCCAACATGGCCTGAAGCTGTTTGCCTCAAGAATTACACAAGGCAAGCCCACCTCACCAGAACAGGGATAAGTTTTCTTTCATACAGCGCATAATTCAGTCTAGCAAAAACCTGCAGGCCACTCATTGGCCAATTTCAGCCCGCTGTCATATTTTGCTTGATCGTCATGTTTTTATCATTCTCCATTTTAAAATTAGCTACTTAGACATTTGGGGGATTTCACATTTCAAAAATCCACATTTCTGGCTTACCTGAAAAAATAAAAACAAAAACAATAGACCAAGGATTAGGGCCCACATTCCAACAAGGATACAAGCATCTGGCTCTGAGGAAGGGCTCAGCCATTTTAGACTCAGAATGCTCTCTCAGTGGGGCCACACCCCGAGTTGGCCTTCTTCGCTCTAATAAAATGCCCAGTTGTCTCCTGAAGGCACTTGCATTGGTAGTTTTGGGGCTAGACCCAGGGAAAACTGCCTAACCCCCCTTTGGCTTACTTTAACCCCATTTGATTTTTAATTTATTTGCTCTATCTTCATCTCACCAATACTTAGTTCAGGTGGTCTCTCTGCCAGGCAGTCTTCTAGACACAGGTCCTTATGATATGGTTATAAACAAAAGAAACAAATAAATAATCTTATCTTCATGGAACTTTCATATTAATGTGGGAGACAGACAGTATCCAAGAGACAATAAGTAAAATATAAAGTAGTTTCAAAGTGATAAGTGTTAAGAATGAAAAAATTAACAGGGGGACTGAAATTCCAGGGAGGAGGTTGAAGAGATGGCTTCACTGAGAGCCTGGTTTTTGCATAAAGACCTGAAGGCAGTGAGAGAGCTGACCCTGTGGCTGTCTGGGGAATGAGGATTCCAGGTAGCAGGACAGCACATGCTGAGGTCCCAAGGCAGAGGTAGGCCTGGCATGTTCAAGGAACACTGAGGATACCAGCATGGCTGGAGCTGAGTTAGCAATGTAGAGAATATCAGGAAGTGAGTTCAGAGAGGTGATGTGGATCTGGGAGAAGCAGATAGCTTGGAGCCTTGGAGGGTCTATAATGGAATTTGACTTTTACAGTGAGTGTGGAGGGGGGTCATTCGAGTATTTTCAGCAGATGCTGGATATGATTTGTTTTATATTTTTCACAGGATCATTCTGGAAAGTCTGTAGTGTTATCTGTTTGTGGTCAAGGTTGGGAAAAGGAAGATAAAATATACCAATGAAACAGAGTAGAGACCTAAAAATAGATTTACATATAGGAAACTTATGTCATAATAGAGGTGATATTTCAGATGAATGATGAAAAGACATTTTATTCAATAAATGGTGCTCCATTAATCTGTTTCCCATATAGCAAAAAAATAAGCATAAATCCCTTCAACGCATCCTACACACAAAAGAAATTCCTCATGGAAAAATGTTAATGCTTAAATTTAGAAGGTAATACTTATACAAATTTTAGTATAAGATGAAAGTGAGTGTTTTTTTCCCTATGTAAATGGGAAAGATTTATTTTACATGCAAAATATGCGCAAGTAATGAAGGGAAAGTTTGATATGTTTATTTTAAAATATGCAAGCCCCAAATATCAAAAATCATCATATACAAAGTGGAGTCAATGTGATAAGGTTACAAACTGTGATAGTTAAAATGAATTAAAGAAAAATATATTCAGTGAGAAAATAATAGAGTCCATAGAACACTGGGTAAATATATGAATAGGGAATTCACAAATAGATCACAGTCAACAAATATACATTACCTTGATCTGCTGCCCATTACCTTATTGTATCTTGTCCATAATATGTCATCTTCTAACATACTACATAGTTTACTTAGTTAATATGTTTATTGTTTCCCTACCAGAATGTAAACCCTGAAAGTGCATGAGTTTTCTTCCTTAGAATAGTATCTGGCATAACGTAAGTGTTTAATAAACATTTGTTAACTATATGAATCTCATCAGTAACTAGGAAAATGAAAATTAAAGTAACATGATCTCACACACATTAGATCAGCTAACATGTGAAGTTTGAAAATACATATTGACCAGTTAAACAAGTGGGAGATCCTATACACTCTAGGTGAGCATTTGTCAGAGAGAAATTTGCCATTATCTAGTGAAAGCCTAGATAGAAGCCGGCATATTTCCAGCAATTTCATTCTTATATATTGTTGGAAGGCAATTATGCATGTGTCTCACATGTTACTGTACATATGGCAAGCAAAACACTGAGAATTCTTTCTTTTGAGGTGTCTTTTGAAAGATGTTTGAGTGGTGAACAGCTTTGGAAGATAGACATAGTATCTCTCTCTCTGAAGTAAAAAGCAGGATTGCTTAGAGTCTTTGGAAGATAGTGATTCCCTCTGGAACAAAGGGCAGGAATGCTTACTCCAATATAATAAAGATAATGTCTCTTTCAAGAGCAAAGGAAAGGGATGCTTACTCCTCCATATAAAAGTTTGAGGTTCCCAAACTGATGTTTCCTCCTTTGTAATTCAACTTACCTTATATGTATGTGTCATGTAACCATTCTTCATAACCCTGTAGGAAGTGGGACTCAGGCTTATAGGGTAAAAACACTGATATTCAGGCTATTTTTATTACTGTGAATAATAAACTATCCTTTGTCTCTGACCAAAAGTCTCATATATACTACTGGCACCCAAGAAACTGTGGCTGGTAACTTGTTAGCTCACAACTATTGTAAAATTTCATAATCTTCAATCTTCTTGATACTTGTAGCGATGAGGATAAAAGCTGACAGAGACATGGCTTTCTGTAAGAGGAAGAATGAGGACCTCACGAGCCAGTTAATGGAATTTGAGGGTGATTTATGAGAATTGATGGTGAATGTACAAATCAATTATGCATAAATAGTCCTTAATCTTTTAATGAGGTGGAATTGGGGAAGTAGTTGCAGGATGAGAGCTGAGGGCTCCCTGTCCCCAGTGAGGTCAAAGGTCATATGTACCTGTCTGAGTATGATGGGAAATTTTGGCAAAGGGAAAGTGTCAAACTTCTGTGGGCCTGTTAGATATGGATGCTCAAGTCACAATTTTACCCAGACCGCTAGAAGAAAATGGCATAAAAATGAGCTAATGGGGATTGGGCTGGGTTTAAGTTGGGAAAAGGAAGCCAATATGACCTTCTGAGTGAAACCTTTTGGGCCAATTCAGTGCACTCTAGTTGTTACCTCTAATCTGAATATATA